CTTACTCTTTGAGTAGAATTCCTAACGAAACATTCCATTTCAATGAATAAAGACTTGAAGAGTTGTTTGATGCTCCTTGCATGAGGTAAAGCAGTGGCACGGGCCAGGCTTTAGGAGCCTGCCCTTTGTGTGAGCCAGACCTCACTCCTTACAGACTAAAACAATATTCTGAAACAAAGGCCACTTTTCATCCATTTAGCTAAATGCAATATTCACATTTGCCATAAATATCAGCAAAATATGTATGAGAAGTTAGGAGGAATTTTTCATGTGTGGAGGTTTTTCCCTGTCAATATTCAATATGGCTAGAGAAATATTTAAAGAGGCAGGAAGAAATTAGGTAAAAAAGACAAACCGTATTATTTTAAAGTACATTTTTGAAAGATTTAAAATTTTAATTTGTTGAAAACTGACAAATAAAACCAGGAAGAAACAGGTTTTGTGTGTACTTTTAGACTGGCATAAAAACAAAAACAAAACTCCAACCTGGTTCAATGTTATAAATGATGTGGAAAATCATTATGAGCTCAAGCCAGTCCCAAACAATGTGTTGATCATTTTTATGTAAAAATTATTTCTGCATAACTGGCCTAGGCTAGCTAAACTAAAGAAAAACAACAACATGTGAGGTAAAGGGTAGAATTCTAAATTCTATAGCCTACATTTAAAGGCATATCACTTATCCCATTTTTGGTGGGATTAATTACATTGATGAGAAAATGTTTATCTCTGTGCATGTAAAACATTTAAACTGAGAGGTCATCTTTACATTTCCTTATTTGATCCAGATATTCATTATGTACTATTTCTGAACAGTACAGCAGCAAAAGTGTTTGCTTTTCAAGGTCTTTCCTAGATGTTTCTATGACACTGCATTTTCAAGATCTTGTTGTGTTTTTATATGATATTATGAAATGTATTATTTTTCTGTTTCTTATTCCCCTACCACCAACTAAAAGTTAATTAAGGTTAAATATACATTGTGAGAATTGGTGTGATACCTCAGAATTACAATTCTGATGTCATTAAAACTCTGCTCTAACTCTTGAGTTACTGGAATTTTTTTTTTAAATCAACATAATCAAGTAGAAAGGTCCCTGGCTTGAAAGTAAAGAAACTTTCTAATCTCAGTTCTAATAAACTATCCCTTTGATCAAGTGAGATGAGAATAATATAGCTAACCTCCCTATGGCTCTGTTTTCATATCTGTTGTCATCTTCAGTGAGACCAGATGAAAGAGTTGAGGTTAAAGAATGCTGACAAGTCAAGTGTTTAACAAATATAAGGTGCTCTTGCATAAATTTGTATATGTTGGTACTCATAGGAAAATGTGATGTGAATTTCTTCTATATATAAACTCTCACTCAACAAGACCTATGAACATACCAAACACTAACAGCCCAAGTGATGAGCTCAGAACTCTGAGATAAATAGTTCTACCTGTGGGTAATTTGAGTCATTATATTTCCTTCCTGAGGACTGCAAAGGTCAAGCCTATCCTATATAATAAAAGGCTAATATGCAAATCGACCAAATGGTGGAATGACCGGTTGCTATGATGTGCACTGACAACCAGGGGGCAGATGCTCAACGCAGGAGCTGCCCCCGGTGGTCAGTGTGCTCCCAAGCGCTGCTCAGCCAGAAGCCGGGCTTATGGCTGGTGAGTGCAGCAGTGGTGGTGGGAGCCTCTCCTACCTCCACGGCAGCGCTAAGGATATCCAGCTGATGGCTTAGGCCAGCTGTCAGCTGGACATCCCCTGAGGGCCCCCAGACTGCAAGAGGGAGCAGGCCAGACTGAGGGACTCCCTGAGTGCATGAATTTCATGCACCAGGCCTGCACATAACAAAGCTTGGCTTCTCTTTCTCTCTCAGACCTCATTTTTCTCTCTCACACGGAGTTTTTTACTTCCACTCCCAGCTTGCTCAGGGAGCTGGTACAAGAATGGTTAAGATGAGAAAAGGACATGAATCAGAATCAGAATCAAACAGTGAAATTAAATTCCTAAAGAAGTCATGACCAAATATTTCTCACAAAGGCTAGTTTCTAGTTACAATGATGTGTGGCAAAGCAAGCACATGAATACCTATAAGTGAGGAAATGAATTACACAGAATGTCCCTTAGCTACAGACACAAGGATCATCAACTCTTAATCTGAGGAGGGGCCACTTAAACATCTTTTGGGAGTCAAGGGGCAACAGCTGCCATCTGGAATCACCAGCAGTTATTCTGAATCCACAAACATCTTAGCAGAGAAACACCAAGGAAAGAAGGGATATGCTGACCATGATCCTCAGCAATGGTTGCATGGCCCTGGTTCATGCAGGGTCGAATGAACCACCCACTTTAGTGGCTCACTACCTAACCCTGGTCTCCAGGCTACCTGAGTAGGGGATTTCATATAAAGTTTTATAGTTCATCCATTTATTTTTGCTGTCTTACATTAGAACATAATAAAAATATGCATTTTTTCTTCACCAAAATATGCATTTCTTAATTCTTTGAGAATAAATGACATTCTATTTCTACATTTCAAATGACATGCAGGCTAAAACACAGTTGGTATGGCCTAGCCTGGATATACATGATCATCTGACCTACAGAGAGTTCCAATGAAGGCTACATGATCTCTGTGGTAGGCACAATAATGGCCTCCCAAAATACGCATGTCCTAATTCCCAGAACCTGTGAATATATCATCTCTCATGGTAAAAAGAACCTTGCAAATGTGATTATTAAGTACCTTGAGATGGAGTGATTATCCTGGGTTAGGAAAGCAGGCTCAATCTAATCTCATGGGTCCTTAAAAATGGAGAACCTTTCCTGGCTATGGAGAGGGAGAGGTGTGACTATAGAGGAATGGTCAGAAAAATGCACTTGAAGATCAGAGAATGGTCAGAGATATGATTTCAAGGGGGAAGAGGACGGGGCCATGAGTCAAGGTATACAGGCAGCTCTAAAAGCTGAAAAAGTCAAGGAAATGGATTCTCCTCTAGAGCCTCCAGAAAGAAACACAACCCTGTTACCACCTTGATTTTAGCCCAGTGACACTGTCAAACTTCTGACCTTCAGAAGTTTAGTAATGGATCAGTGCTCCTCACTTGTTTCTTCATTGTCTCCTTGCCCCTTCTCAGTACTCCATCCCCTTCCCTGTCTCTCTCCTTCTCCCATTTCTACCTTTCTTCCATTTGACCTTCATTTCTCTCTCTTTTTATTTTTTTATTTTTTATTGGTTCTCAACCTTCTGGCTCTTTAAATACAGTTCATCATGTTGTGACCCAACCATCAAATTATTTTCGTTGCTACTTCATAACTGTAATGTTGCCACTGTTATGAATCGTAATGTAAATATCTGATATGCAGGATGGTCTTAGGCGACCCCTGTGAAAGGGTCATTCGACAGCCAAAGGGGTTTCGACCCACAGGTTGAGAATCACTGGATTATGGTATTACAAATGTATCTTTATCTCCCCATTGTCCCCTAAACATTTCTCTTTTTTATCTCCTAATCTCTCTGCTCAACACTGTCAACTCTCCACCTTAACATTTACTGGTCTTTTATTTATTTATTTATTTTTAATAATACTTTATTGTTGAAACTATTACATATATCCCCTTCCCTATCCTACCCTTGACCTCCTCCAGCCCGCCCCCACCCCCTGCCCCATATGAGTGAGATCATGTGATACTTGTCTTTCTCTGACTAATTTCACTGAGCATGATACTCTCTAGGTCTCTCCATGCTGTCTCAAAGGCATTTACTGGTCTTTTAGATAAACTGAACTATTATAAATATAACACAACTGGTGGGGGAGGGAGAGATTGGAAATAGTCTGGGTAACGGAATATTCTTAAAGAAATGTCTTCCCCCTCCCCCCAACTTCAAGCACAAATAATCACAATGCTAATAGGGAAAGGGAGAACAAAATTACTTTTCAAACAATTCTCTGAGTGTACTGACCAATAGAAATAATTTATAATGACCACATTCATTATTTGAATGTATAGAAAGGTAATTTATTGAAACATTATTGTTGTTTTTTTATCTTTAGTGCTTTAGCAGAGTCAAAGGAATATGGGTTCTACTAGTGAGATTCATCTTTAAAAGTCACTCCTGTTACCACAGCGTTAGAGGTTTTTAAAAAAGGTAGCCAGGCACCTGGAAAACAATACGTAGGCTCTTGTTTGGGAGCTTGGTTTGTTAGAAGGTCTATTAGAAAGGTGTGTACTGATATTTGAGGAAGAGAAATACCCTCATCATGAACGGCCTCTAGATTAAAGATGGGTTTGGGAGTTTTGGCGGGTGTGTTCCCAGAGTAGCCCACACTTGTGTCTCTACAGGGGAGAGCCTCTATGATGAGGTAACACTTGGATGCCTGGGTGACAAAATTAAGCCATGGCTTTGCAGTCAAATGAAAGATTCCTGTGCCAACATCTGGCTCCTCCAGGGAACCACACAGGGTTGGACACTGAGACCTCAGGAAAAAACAAACAAACAAACAAACAAATGAACAAACAAACAAAAAACCAGATTGAGGCAAGATTAGGGGCTTGAAACTCACTTGGAGGATAGAGACATAACCCTCTGCTAAACCCCTACAACCAAAGGATGGGGAGGGACTCTCAAAACCTGGCTGAGGTAAATTTCTCGATACAGTGTTTAACTGCAGCTCTGAGTCAGTTAGATTAATTTAGAAATGAAATGTACTTAGATCATGGAGACTTCCCCAGACTTTTCCTTAAATATCACTCTCCATAGGCTTTCCCGGACCACCCTGCTCAGAATTATAACACCCACCTCACCCATTCTTCTCTATGTTTTTGTCCTTAGTACCTTCCACCAACATACTTTTTATCTTGATTCTTGTCTGTCTCCCACACCACAAGGGCAAA